CAATATTTTCATCAATATTTTCATCAATATTTTCATCAATATTTTCAGATGCTTTCCAGCATATCCTTCATTCAGAAGGTCCTTACAGGGAGCTGGAAACACAATGTTCCAGTCTGCTGCTGTGACCTCTGCAAGAGCCCACGGCGCAGCAGTCATGCCTCAGTGGCAGCACATGTACTGTAGATGTCACTGAATTCTAACAGCACTTCTCGAAACACGGCCTGCCGTGTAATCCTGGCAGTAATCTAGTGCTACATTAAATGCATTGTTGTCAGTCGAGAAGTATTATAGGCCTCTAAATATACAGCTGGATACGCACACAATATTAAATAGCATTGCACATAGAGTTCTGCTCTGAGGATGAATACCAGCCTATGTACTTTCAACAACAGACTGCATTGTGAAGAGCCAAATTGGTTATTTCTTTGGCTTCACTGATGTCAACGAAGTGAGACTTGACTCTGCCCTTCAATAGCCTGAATAAGTCATTAGGCAAATTATTGGTGCACTTTGTTTAGAAGCCTGGATCCTGCAGACGCATTCTGAGTCAAGCAACTGGTGGTTGCAACAACCTTCGTCAAACGAATACAGAGCTGAGATTCAGCCCTGTCATCTGCTCCTTCAAACTGTCCTGAATAGAAAGAAAAGCTAACTGTCAGCTCCAAGTCAATGCAAAACTCACTGGATGAGGTTCTGAAGACCTGAGAGCAGACAATCACAGTGTTTCCTGGCAGGTGTTACAAGCTAGGGTCTTTGACTATGTGCTGCATTCATTCTGTTTTCCTAGCAGGAAAAAAAAAAATCACAACAGGATGAAGAATGGCAACTGCATTGTGCCTCCGGAGCACTAAGCACCGCCACCACACACACAGCTATTGACAAGGCACATCGCCAGAACTGCCCATCAGCCTTCTGAGACACAAAAGTATAAACAGCCATGCCAGTCCTCTACAGTGATGAGTGAGAAGAGCTGAAGATGACGTTGCTACTGCCAAAAACTGTTTAAAGCACACACACTAAAAAAAGGATCATACATTTCATCACTAGCCGCAGGAGGAGTGCTACCCTTGACTTGGTTGGACCTCTTAATAGCACTGACATCAGTTTTGAGTACTCTGATCCAGTTCACGTTTGATGATGTCTATGGGAAAAAAAGAAAAGAAAAGCAGCAGTCCCACAATTGAAGCTCTATGGAATTCACTTCTCCCTAACAATCTGCATCACACAACTGCTCTCAGAGGTGACTCCAGTTGCCATCCAAGTCACCCGCCCACCATCAGCAATTCCTAAGCCATTATACTCAGTTTGGGCCTTCTCAGGATCTTAACTGTCTCATGAACTATTTTAATCAATTTACAGTGTTCATTAATACACACCGACGTCATCAGGGGACACAGGAATCAGCAGTTCAAGCATGAACATCTTCGAGAAGGCGCAGACTGAAAGGCCAAGAGTTGTCTCCATGGCGCCAGGTGTGACTTACTGAGATCACCATTTTTGCCTTGAGCTGTTACCAGTTCTAATGCCCTCCACAAAGAGAAGCATGAGAGGCGCGAGTTCAGACTGCAGACAGAACTGAAGAGGCTTCAAGACATCCCTCTGAGTTACGTAAACACACGAGCGGAGTAAATCCAGCACAGCCACATGCAGCTGCATTATGGAAAACAAGAAGCACATAATCCTGCATCTTCCTTTTTCTCCTGGATGGCCCCAAAGTGCTCTGGGAACATCATTTAAGCCACACACAAAACCTGAGAATTCAGTACGATGAAGTGAGCCCTCGTTTGCCCAGTTCCCACGAGCAATCCCACCACGCCCAGGGAAACACAGCACACAGTGAACCGGCTGCTTAGCCTTGCAATCGAGTGCCCTGGTTTTGCAGGATGTCCCAGTCCCTGTGTTTCACCCTGCCGCCCAGCAGCCAAGCCCAGCGAGATCACGGTCCAGAAAAGACACCCAGGTGGGAAAGCTGCCCTTCTGACCCAACCTGCTCAGCTGGCCAGGCCTGCACACAGCCTGCTGGCCCGAGCCTCCCTCCGTGCTTGTGTTCTCATCCTGACTGAAAAACTTTATGAAATGGTACAGATTATTAGTAGTATTTAATATTAATTAGTGCTGTGCAATGCACTGGAGACCTAAAGCTAATGGTAGCCACAGCAGAGGTCACTCAGCTGCTCTCATTAAGGCTCTGCAGCCCACAAAACACGTAACCCTGCCAACTGAACCTGTCAGTTGGTACAGGTTTCTTCTTTCACTACATTTATATGAAGCAGTACTGAGAGACGAGTTCATCACTCCCCAACAGAAATGGTAAGAGATCAACAAACAAACAATCAAGCCAACCAAAAGAATCAAATAAAGAATCAAATTAAAAAATCTCTCTGCTGTTTTTCTTTCCTAGCAACATGCATCACCAGCAAACAGACGAGTGAAATTGAAAATCCAGTGGGACTGATCAGAAATTACGCTTTCCTAGATGCTGGCAGGAATTCATCAGAAACTTGCAGAGGAAGGTAATCTAGGACAGCTCTCTCCAACTGCTGTTCAAACACAAGCCTTAAATTCCTGAGCAGGGCAAGAACACCAAAAAACTCCAATCACTGATCTGGCAACCACAACAGCAGGTCTTTGTGCTCTCTCTATCCAATGCTGCACCGAAGGTCTCACCCGTATCTGCAGAAACTGAAAAGTCACTGTATGACGTACAGGAGCAGAACTGAACACAGCCCCTGCTTATTCTTCCAGTCCTCTTCTGTTAAAACAGTGTGTTTGTATTATGCTACAAAGCAATGATGTGTCTGCACAATCAGGCTCCCTTTTCAATTACTGGCTAATTATTTCAACGCTGCAAAACAGAAAACCGAGTTGCCTTTCCAGCTCCGCTGAACTTCTTGATAAATTATTCTCAAAGAACAAATGAGATTTCTCATTTCAGTGGTAGTCCAATGTGAACAAAACTTACTCCTTCCAGCTCAGAACCTCTAACACTCTTTTATTTTAGGTCCTATTAGAAATAAAAAGGTGCCAGCATTCTACCTGGCACTCAAGAAAGCCTTTGAAGCGTGACGCCTGCAACGTCAGAAGATAAGTAACTGCAGAACTTTGTGCAGATGAACAAATGCTTCAAGCCAGCAAGGAAAACTTCAGCAACACTCAGGCAGGGCCACAGCTCTGAATACACTCCAGTAAGTGATGCTGCTTCAAACCAGGATGTGCCTGTACACAGGGCTGGGAGCCTGAGATGGTGACCTTAAATACACACACGGAAGATTAACATCCACTCTCTATATGCTGAAAAAGAATAGGAAAAGAAATGCAGCACGCTTGTCAGATTTCACTGTACTGTTTTGGACAGTCTTTCTGAACACTCACTTCTTCAACTTAAGTTTGCTGTGCTTGGCAATCTCCTTTGTGTCTTTTGCAACACTGCACACACACAAATGGCCTGTGGTTTCATGCTTTGCTTCCCATTTAAAACTAACACTTAAACAGTAGCTTTAATTTTGTTAAATAAAAGCTTTTTTTTCCTGAATTCTGACTTTTACTTCTCTTTTTTTAGCACAAGGGACAACATGATTTTTACAAGATACCCATCACCTTCAGAAGCAGCATTTTGCCCTTGCTGCTCTGATTTACCAGTTCTCATCTCAATTTTCTCTCCCTCAATTTTCTGTGCTAAGTTCAACAAAAGCAATGAGAGTAGGTAGCAGGAGTTCAATGTTGGACAACTAGCTTTGAAATCAGATTTATTTGCTTTCGGATGCTCCAAACAGCAAAAACAGAAGTAAAAGAAAAGAATATGAAATGCCACTCTTGCAAAATTTTTATGTTTAGAAGAGAACAAGCCTAAAATTTCCCTCCATGGCTGTAGGCAACGCAGCCTATCCTTTAAGCACTTTGTATAAGATGAAGCCTATCAGGTGGGTGCTCTGGCGCAGCTCCAGCGATGGATGTGGGGCAGCAGCATCCCTGCCTGAGGGGCACATCCCAGCCCTGGGCAAAATGAGGTTTCCCCCACCACATTCCTGCAGTATCAGCCCCGTGAGCCAGCACATGGGTAGAAGCTGTGTTTACTACGTGGTATCAGCAGGGTGATGCTGGCTCCAGGAGCCGTTTCTCGGCCATGACGCCGTCTGCCTTCCCATCAAAGATTAAGAAACCGCCGGTAACCCAGCGGCTTCCTCCCTTGCGTGGCCTTCCAGGTTCGGGGCACTGCAAGCCCTGCACCAAGCACTCCCTGATTGCTTCAGCAGGGGCTGACAGACGTCAGCAACAGGACTTTTTGCTGTTATTTCCTGGGAAAGCCAAGAAAATCTGTTGAGTGCAAGTGCCCTGTTGCAGGTTGTGTGTTAAATGCTGCTCGATCTCCGCCGGCCCTGCAAGTGACTGAGATAAGGGTGACCTTGTATACAGCAAGCCATTTCCTGGCTGGGGTGGGGAGAGACAGGCCTCGTGAGCCACCAAACCCAAAAAATAGTAGCTCTTTAATTGCACAGTAACCGAGACGAGCTGGTCAGCAAAGCTGGACAGCATGGTTCTGACTTTCTGGCAGCTTTCCCCAGCTTCCAGCAATCAGGATGCTCTTCCCTTTGAGATTCTTGATGGTTTCCATGTTCCACCACCTTAGCCCATGCTGAGATGTCTCAGACACAGAACCTGCCTTCTCTCTTCAGTGTTTCCTTCATTCTTGGCCAAAGGAAACCAAGTTCGTCAAAGCAATGAATAAAAATAGACAACCCAAACCCATTTGCTGTCACACAGACATTTGCTTTGCTTTTACTTTGCATGAACAGTGGAAGGTGCACAGCCTCAAACTAGAAGAGTCTGTCCAAGTAAAATCATTTCACCCAGAAGATGCTTTATCTTCTTTATCACAAAGCAGCTCACAACATCTGAGCTCAGTTTGCTTTCTAAAACCTCCCAATTAACTTGGCACAAGCCCGACCAGCACCACTCGCATGCGGTGCAGTACAAGATTATGCTACAGGTCTGACTCAGAATGCAGCAGCTAACCTACTGGCTCCCCAACGCAGCAGTTGACCCCCAAGCTCCCGGGATAACATCACCCAAGCACACACAAGAGCATGAAGGACGTTTCCCTGCTGCACAGAGAGTAGTTGGAATAAGGGAAAAACGAACTGCATTGAATGGAGCACCACTCCTGCTCCAGAGCTGAGCACGCCTGTTGCAACACAGCGCTGAGGCTTTGTGAGGTGACAGCTGGCTGTCAGTGAACACAAGGGAAGAAACGTCATCCAGCCTCAAAATCTCTTTGTCTATCCCACTTAATTTCTTTGTGCTAAAGGCGTGGAAAACAGCAAACACAAAGCCAACGCAGGTCTGCCTTTGTAGAAAGGGATTGGTAATAACTACTGTCCAGCTCAACTGCACTTGGCGTGAGCTGTTAGTGACGAGCAAAGCGGGAACAAAGGCAAAAATAAATTGGGTCGGGAGTGTTAAAGCACTCTGACCTCGCCCAGTGTCCCCAGGGAGCAAGGGATGGGATGTGCTGCAGTGGGAGATGATGCTGTTGCTGATACTCCAGTTCTATAGATAAATAAAAGATTTACTTCTGGAAGCAGATAAGCAAACATCTTTCATCAGGACTAAAACAGACACTTTTCAGAGCGGTGTGCAAACGGCACTGATCCCTATCAGAAAGCCCCCTTCTGATTTCAATTTCAGAAAAAGATCAGCTTAGATGCTGCAAAATTGCACTGCAGCTAAAAACCACTCTCCTGTTAGACAAGCAAAGCCTTGCCTAACCATATGTGGGATTATCTACCTACGTCACACAGCTGTAGGGCAGCAAAGCCACTGTTCCACCAGCCCTTCTCTGAAAAAAAGGCGTCAGAAAGCCACTGCTGCAGAAAATTCAATGCAACTTGACTGTCTTTGCTCCCCTCACTATGCTACTATCAACTCTAGAAAAAGCCGGGAAAGAAACAGAAAACCCTACGGAAAACCTACATTTTACATAAAGCAGCAATCTCTGGAACTACGAACTCTTCTGGAAACTTAGAAGAAAATTACATGCAACATTCATTCAGTTAGGAGAAAAAACACAAGGCAAATCTTCTGGAAAAATGCAGGCATGCAGTGACAACACAGGTAGCATGTGAGTGGGGGAGTGATCCCGAGCAGTGGGTGCTTGTGCAAGGAGCAAGGGCTCTCCATGCACTAGGACTTGCTTCCCCTCAAGGTGCGCTCCCCGTCGGGCTGGATATTTGCTTTGCTGCTCTACGCCCCAAGGTTCCTCATCTTCAAATACAAAGGAATTTTCTTTGTGAGGCACTTCGAGATCCGCAGATGAAAGGCATGACAGCAGAACTAGGTCAGACAGTGATGTATACAATTATCTCTGCAATTTACATGACTGGAAAGTGTAATTAAAAATCTAGATTGCTTTTCTCAAAGATTCTGTTCAAAATCAGACAGGGTGGTACATTTACACTTTGATTTGCCGTGCAAAAGCTTTTAGAGTAAACGCTGCAGTTTAGAAGAAAGCAGAGGACAAATCTAGGGATTAGCCAGCAGTGGCGTCATTTCCTATGACCCATTACTTTACCAAAACCCCTTAAAAAAAACAGCAACAAAAAAACAACACCGACACAAACTTCCTGTACTCTAACCACTGCATGAGCAAGCACAGTTACACTTCAAGAGATCCTTCTAAGTAGCTGCACTATTGCTCAAGCCACTGCATATAGCACCCAAACCAAAACCCAAGTTGTGGGTTTCTTCCAGTGCTGCTTCACCATATCCAAAGATACAGCCACACGTCCCAGCCAGTCACTCCAAATGGCCGCCCTCAAACGGCACAAGCAATCTGCTGGCTTTGGAATGGAATGCAATGATAACGCAATGAACACATTTCTTCCTTTTTCTTCTTATGGAACCACATCCCACATTTTTTCCCCGTTTCAAAGAGTAGCCGACGCAGCACACAAACCGCCATCCCACTTGGCAGCAGCTGGCTCCTTTTCAAAGAACATCGGTGGAGGAGCCCGGAACGCCTGGCACGGGACCGCTTAGAGGTGGTCCAGCCACAGCTCAGGTTTCTCCCTGTCTGTGCAGATGACATCACCCCGCGAGGCCATCCGTGCAACTCCTCCATCAGCAGTAATTTCAGCCTCAGGAACATACCAGCCACTCGTAACCAAAATTATCAGGCTCCATCTCCAACGCGGCAGCCAATGCTGCCTTTGAAGTGGAAACCGAAGCCCAGAGCTTTTTCACTGTGTAAGTACAGCGCGGGCAAACACAGGGATCCCTGGCTCCTGGAAGAGGGAAGGAGTGCGGGAAGCAGTGCACGGCTGGCATTTGATTCATCTGGACGCTCGGTCCCTCCTGTTTGCATACCTCTGTGCAGGACAGAGCTGGTATGTTTGCAGAGGGCTCTGGTTGCTCACTGAACTCAGGATGGAGACTGGCAACTTCTTGCAGGGAAGAGACTGAAACTGTAGATGCTCTCAGAGCTACTGTCACCTATGACGAGACACAACCCTCTTGTTGCTCCTCTCCTGCTCCCCAGTATGCAACAAAGCAAAGGTTGATGTCACCATCCAGAGGTGCACTCCATATGCAAAAGCATAGGAAAGGATATTTTATATTGGAAACGTGACAAAGTAGATGCAGATAACTGCCCAATCTTCTCTGCTACCCAAAGGGTTAATGCTAGCCTGGACGATCTCCAGTCACATCAAGATGATACACTCAAAATGAAAAGTCTCTGTTGGAGCCCTAAACGTTAAGGGTTTTTTCCTCCTCTATCTCACATATGTCAGCTGTTACTGAATTTATTGGTTAAATGGCAGCAGAAGACCATTTAAGTAAAAAAGAGCAACATAACCACAAGTGAATTTATTTTATGATTTGCAATGAGGTGCAAATCCTGCCAACCACTTTAAACAATCAGAGCAAACCTAATTTCCCCTTCACTGAAAGGATGGAGAGTCTATAAATTCGTAACAAACTGAAAAGGTCTGTCTCACTTCTGGTCAACAAGAACTTTCCCTCTGATGAGCTGTGGTCTCCTCCCTGCTTGGGAAACTAAGGCAGAAACCAGTCCTCTCTGTTCATACATAGCAAGCTGGAGAAAGGCTAAAAGAATGCTTTGCTTAAAGGTGCCCAAGATGCTGCCATTTCTACCACTGAACTTGTCCCAGACTTTTTTCCCCAAAAACGCAGATGTCCACTGCTGTCTGGCACATGCCAGGATCCAGAAGGGCACAGGTCTGTGGCAAGCTGTTCCACTTGCCAGCCCATTCTGTACGTCCTACATTCCTTAAAGTATATAAATGGCCCTACACATTACATGCATGTAACCAAACCACATCCTGCAACACAAAAAGTTATACAACTATGTAGAACTGCTGTCCTCTCTTTTCTCCTCCCTATCTGAATTCTATTAAACTCTAGTGAACATAAAACCAAAATGAAGCTGAGAGAAAAGGCTTTCCTCAAAGGGTTGGCCAAGGGGAAATGAAAAATAACCTGTTAGAGGCACAGCCATATCCACCAGCTGCACAA